TAGTGAACATTTATTACTTGCCACATCAAAATAATCCACTTTAAGCTTTGGGTGTCATACATAACAGAGATCACAAGACAGACTTCAAGTCTAGCGTGACGATGTTTTGTAGGGCACTCAGTAACCGAAAATTGTCAAATAACAAATAGTACATAAAATGAATATAATTTATTATTATTAATTTAAAGATGCATATATTTGTACATGGAATACTGAGAGAAATTGAATAAATTGAAATTGAAATGTGAATTTGCCCTTTTATCGTCAGTTATCAGTATAGCTAGGAAAGTAGGTACAGCTGTTGAATATATCAAAGAATAATTCATATCATCATATAAGATAGAGAATGCGAATTCTCAAAGTATATCGACATACCAAACATTTCAAACCATGAGGGTTTTATAAACATTTAATTAAAGAAATACTCAAAGCTCGAAGTAATTCCCTCAAATGTTCATGAATGAAGGAAACTGGAAGATAACGAGAGAAAAAAAAAACTTTTTCTGGCTATATGCCAATCAGGACATTGAATTCAATCCTCCTGAAATCTATGCAATGATTCGTATAGACGAATAAAATCGCAAGTGTGTGTGTGTGTGTGTGTGTGTGTGTGTGTGTGTGTGTGTGTGGTCAGGAACGCTTGACTACCTATAGACCGGTTTCGAAGTATATTGGCTCTCATCAGTGCAGGGTTGCCTCCAGATAGCACGGATACTGACCATCAAGGAACTATAATAGGAAACGTGTAAACCTAATAAATTGATCTATATAGTCATTGGATGTGAGGGTTCCGAAGTAAGTCTCGTCTGGGGCTAGTCTTGACTTCGCAAGAACTCACCAATATGGCATTTATAATATAAGTTCTTATTAGGTCTTTACTCTCGCAAACCCTCAAGCCAAGAATATACCTCTCATTAATCGATGTAGGTGAAACACCATCCCCATTTTGTGACATAGTGGAAGTCGAGGTGGAAGTCCTACCTCTATGTTGTGACATGGAGAAAATACCTATAGTATCGTGACTATATTATTTCTTCTCAAAAGATTTGTTTCGCTCATTTCCTCTGTGGAAAAAATCACCTTCTGAAGACCTTTGTGGGATCGCTGCTAAATCGACAAATCGAAAATTCAAGAGTATATTCGTATAAAACATCTTATTCATTTTGGCATGAAGCTTATACAAAAAATGGAACAAGTTTTATAACGTATTAGTATACCCATAACAACATAACTCTATGAAAGTCAGACTACTGATTATAAACTTATAAGTAACTAATTATTATGATTGTGGGGCAAATTACAAAATAAAGAATATGATTCGAGATAAACATTGCGGCACCGCAAAGTTCCTCAGTAGACGAGCAATAATCGTAGTAAGAAATGTAATTTGTTGTTTCTGTTTTTATCAATGGTTTTCCGGAGTTTGTGTTATGCATTTTCGTTGGTTCAGTGGTAACTCTCCAGCAAACAAAAGATAGCTGGCGACCAAATTTAATGCCCGCCTTTTTATTATGTCAATGGCATACTCTGGCATCATTGGTCGGTGATAAAAAAGTACTTATTCATTGCTGTTTCCATCATATAAAAAGTATATTGCAGTTCAATTCTATAGTGGTATTATTTCCTATAGATTTATGTGAATCAAGATTAAATCAGTTTTACGGCATTGGGGAAACAATGGGTAATGATTTTTAGTATAGATTGATGAAAACATCCTGTAACTCATTTATATGCATCAACGTATGTCACTGAGAATTGTCAACACTTAAATCAGAGGACATTTCGGGAAGAATAATATTTTCCATTTTTTATGTTGAAAAACGAGAGCAGATTCGTTCCGAACTTACAAAGCTGAATAGAAATTCAATATTTTTTCGACATACAAATCTACACTCATCGGAAAAAAACCGGCCAGCAAAAAATTTTGCCAAATTAACCTCGAAATTGACTACAGTTACGGTTCAAACATTCATGCTCTGCCAGTATTTGATTTTCAATTATGGTACCCGATAGTCCCTAATTCTTGTGCACAGTATAAGCACAGGCAAAGGATGTAGTATCCAGAAATAGAAAAAAAATCGTCATCAAACTGAAAATATTCGAATATTATTGATTTATTTCAGTAAACACGAATCCATCGGAACTTGAAGCAATAATTTAAATGGAAATATTGTTTTTCGTTATAAAAAATGGATGAATCAAACCAAAAACTAAAACACGTCAACGTCAACTCGAACTTACCAAACTTAACAGAGAAAACCCACTTTCGTACTCTAGTGATAGTGAATCTACCGCTTTTTCAGCAACCGACATCCGTGAATAAGGTTCCTTCAGGAACCAACCGAACATTTCATATTTACGGAACGGAAAACTACTAACCGAAACTCGAACCGAAATAACCATCAAGTTGATTTACGGAACAAATGTACATACCCTGTAATTCAAGCTCGAGAAGGGCATACTCGTTATTGACTACATCTAGGAGGTCTGCTTTTTGTTTGACTTTGGTAATTATGGTTTATCTTTGCTGGTGAGTTGCTAAAAAACAGGGTGGAAGTGGAAATAAGTGATATCAAGTTTTAGATGTTTTTCGAGTCGTTCAGGTGTTAATCGATAAGTTCATTTAGGTTCTGCAAATTTCAAAAACCATTGTGCCAAAAAGCGATCACACAAGAATTAAAAGAATTCAAGGCGATCAATTTAGCCAATTTTTTCGCTGGTCGGCGTTTTTTGACGGTGAGTGTCTCTTCGTCAAACATTTTCCAAACAAGGTTATGTACAACTCGGAAATAAAAGATTCGACTGATCCACACCAACCTTTGGCTTTGCTCAAGGCTGTCAAGGAGGCGAATTCTATATTTGAGGATAACAATCAGCATCAGGATTCTCATGAGTTGCCAAACTCGAGATGATTTGATACGAGTTCAAGAGTATCCTGAGTTATTGGACGGCAAGGAATCAACAGGGCTGATGAATTCTGGGAAAAATTGGAATAGGACTCGGTGCAAGAAGGTCAAAACTGCTAGTGAGGCTTTTCCAGGGGTACCAATGAATTATGACAATTCTACAGAAAAATTGGATTCTTTCGTCGTTGATAGCTATATATGGAAGATCCATCAATAAAAAAATAGGATACAATTTCATTGCGGAAGTTTTCGGAGGCATAACTTTGAGGCGCACCAAATGTTTGAATTGCCAACGGGTAACGCAATGCAAAGAGCCATTTTTTGACATCCAGGTGCCAGTTCCCATAAAATACCATGTTCAAAAACTGTCTGGCGTCCATGATATCTCCCGCGAGGCGTGCATAACGACGGAGGATTTATGTGATAACAATAAATATCTATGCGAGAACTGATCGAACTATACCGACGCCAGCAGTAGTAGTAGTAGTAGTAGGTGGGGAGGCTGTAGCCAAGCAAGTAGGCCCCGATGGGCCCTTTTTGCTAATCCCTGCTCTCCACATATCTACGCTTCATTCACCTAGATTTTCTTCACGAATCTCCCTGACCTTCTGATGAAAGCCAGTATGTCCGTCCACTCTAATATAATCAAGTCCTCCTGTTGAAGTTTGTCTACTCCAAATATTTCAAATCTCAGCCTTCCGTACGCCTCGCACTCGCCGAGGAAATGGAGTGACGTTTTCTCGTCTTCCCCGCATCTGCGGCAAGTGGGGTTGTCCTCTATTCCCATAAGTGATAGGTGTCTGCCAAGCCTGTTGTGTCCTGTGAGTACTCCTATGAGGAGGCGAAGTACTTGGCGGTCTCTGCCGAGCAGCCACTCCTTCCTTGATTTGCTTGGACTGGCCATGAATTCGTTGGCCTGCCTGCAACCTGTGATACTTCTCCAGTATTCTCCTAGTGCCTTGTCCGCCTATTCATCGAGGGCTGACGTAATTTGGCTCCTTGATATACCTAGTACAGGCTCCGGCCCCAGAAACGGCTCCGCGGATCCGGCCCTAGCAAGTTCGTCTGCTGTTTCGTTTCCGGGCACCCCACTGTAACCCGGGACCCATACCAGTTCAACTTCCTTTGATTCTGCTAATATCTCTAGGGCATTTCCACATTCCTGTACCAATGCTGAGCTTGGTCTGGGATGACAGATTCCCTTGAGTGCTGCCTGACTGTCCGAACAGATGTAGATCTTCTGCTCTGGTCCCTCTCTCACCTCAAGTCTCTCTGCTACGACCAGGATAGCGAACACCTCAGCTTGGAAAACTGTGGTGTATTTTCCTAGGGCGTACCTTTTTCGTATGTTTCCCTCTTCGAGATAGATTTCTGCACCCGAGGCCTGTCTGTCAGTCAAGACGAGATCCGTCTGTGTAACATACTAAGCTTCCTGGGCGAAACTCTATTGTATTATTTCTCCATTCCTCTCTGCTTGGAATGGTAAGTTTGAACTTCCTATTCCATCTCAGCTTGTCCTGTACTTTATTCACTCTGAGAGTGGAGATAGGAATCTCTTGCTCCACCCACTCTGCTATTTTTGTATGTCATGTTATTGTTCCTTCACTTGCCCAGTTTCCTGAGTCCCGCATCCTTAGGTGAGCCGCCATCGCCTCCTTCTTTATCCAGATTTGAAGCGGTGGTAGCCCCAGCATTACTTCTAATGCTGCCGTTGGCGTCGTCCTCATTGCACCTGTTATTGCTAGGCATGCCATCCTCTGGACCTTACCTAGGTTCCGACCTATCGCAATGGTTTCTGCGCCAGGCCACCACACTGCCGACGCCAGCAGAGAGGTATCATTTGAAAAGCTACCGAAATTGTTGATTATACATTTAAAAAGTTTCTCAACGACGACGTCTGGCGTCTATAAAGTGAACACCTACCATCCTACCCTTCTAGATTTGCACTGTTTCTGTGTAAAATGCTGTAAGAATGAAAACGAGCCGTTGCCACACCGTTACAAACTGTGTTGCGTCATCATGCACTTGGGCTACAACACTATGGCCTCAGGCCACTTACATTTCCTATGTAAAAGTCAACGATCCGTGCGTCGACTACATAAACTGTCCTTGCAAGAGCTTCGATTGTTGCGGACTGCACATAAACAAAAACGTCCTGATGCGAACTGCTGATGATCTCTCCGGTGGAAAAAGATGACAACCTCCTATGTTGGGGCAGCCAGAAGATTTACTCTCCTCCTCATCCTCCTCCTCGTCCTCCTCCGAAGGCGAATACATGTGGCTTAAGTTCAACGATGAAAACATCAAGCCCATCTCCACAAAGGAGTTCGTTGATGATTTGAGCTCCAAGCCAAACTCCTCGTCGACGCCCTATCTTTTGTTCTTCCTGTGTGTGTGTGTGTGTGCTTTGTGCTATTCAGCCTACTGCCTACTACTGCAAACTGAAATCAAATAATTGGTTCGTTCGGGTTCGAACTATTACTGGTCTAGAACTGTCATTAGTTTGCGCAGTAGAATCGGTCGCGTTCGAGTATTGTGGAACTGTTCTAGGACTGACTCTTTACGCGTTCGTGTTTTTCCAGAATCATCCTGGGACCATCCTAGAACTATCCGGAACCAGTAGCTGCTCTCGAGCATGAGCCGTTCTAGGATTATTTTTGGCGCATGCTCATTTCATTTAGTTTTCGATTCTGTCTGTTGTAGCGTAACGTCATAATGATATATTTTTGTTCATTCAACTGTTTATTGCTTTTTTCACTATTTTATCGATATTATGGAGTTAGTACATTCATTTGATAGTATAGGTATAGTAGTTCTTCATCTTCAGGAAGCAGTGGTGAATGAGTTCCTTGCTGAAGTTGCTGAAAATATTGTGTCTGTGTCTAATCTGATAATTCTCGAACTTTCGTTAGATAACCCGAAATTTATGTATAGGTACAAGGGAGGAAAACATATTGAAAATCTAGCTACGAATGTCATAATGGAATATATTCACTATTCCTCCACAGAGGGCTTCCAGAGATATTGTGAATAGACTTAAAAGAGAGTTTGAAGCTTCAGAATATTATTCGAAAAAAGATACAGGTTCCAAACTATTGTTATTTTTCGCAAATTCTGAATAGAGGTTATGTTCTCAGAGTGCGCACTAGTTCTACGCAGTTCGAGAACGATTCTTGAAATCGTTCTGTTCTGAAATCGCAACCCGAATGAACCTAATTAATCGTATTCGTTTCAACGGAGTGCGCTATGGCTTTGACCTTTGTCGCGTGAACACTGAACGGATATATTATGTAACTAGGACACACATATTTTTATATGATACAAGTATACATTTCACAGTACTTATCGATTGAAAGCATAACTTCAATTAGAATACATCGATCATAGTGATAAAAGTAGGTACTGCATACAGTAGAAAACATTCAAGAGGAAATATAACATTCTTAATTATTCATTCTTCCAACAACTAGCTAATAAATGAGGAACAGCTGTGCCACTGTCATCATGTGTTTTAATGAAGTTCACAATTTGTATACCCTACTTTGACTATACTCGGCGATAATGATACAGCTTTTCAGTAATATTGAATATACAGGTTTTTCACTTTAAACTCCTCACGCCAAAATCTTGTCGACGAATAGAAATATTCAATTTTTGTGAAAAGTCGTCAATGGATGGGGACAAGTAGATTTTTTCAGAGTACAAAAAATTCAACGCCTGCTAAAAGCTGAGCGTCGCAACGCGTCGAAAATATAAATCTATTGCATTGATTAAATTACGCGCACTCAACAGTACATGTTATTTATAAACTTTTTTGTTATTCACTCGAACCTCGACTCGAACTTATTTATTTCACTAAATTCTGAGTTGTAACGGTTATACAGATTTGAAGTAAATGTTTCTTGATTGAGAAAGAATGCGATGACTTTTGTAAGAATATCATTAATATCAGTAACTTCCGATGTAACTTCGGCAACCATTGTTATCATTATAGTGTCAGAGATATTGTCATATTTTGTAACAAGGAAAATTCAATGTTTCAATTATTTAGCAATGGTGTTTGCAGAATGCAGGACAAATTGTAGGGAAGCAAAAAGAGTTGTAAAACAATTGCAATAACAACGGTTGCGAAGTAACTAATATATCCATGACATTTTTGTAAAAATCATCCATAATATTTTTGTCAATCACGAGTTCACTATAAACCATGAATCAGAAATGACTAAGATAAATAAGTTTCAGTAAATTACATAATTTGATGTTTTATTATGATCAAAAGTGACACTGTGTTTGACAAGCAAATTTTGCATTTGCGAGGCGGAGCGTTCAGCGAAGCCGATTGGAAGCAAAGTTTGCGAGTCAAACAAAGTAACTTTTGATCCGAATGAAACATGCTATTTTTTCTGCAACCGAAACAATTAATTCAAATGAATATGTGAAGTAACTACCAATGCCGTGCCATATGTATGCAATGCAACAAATAATCCGTGTGGTTAGAATATTCTACCTGCATCAACAGCAGGTTAATGCAATTTTCGAAGGATGTTCGAATTGTAGTTTCTATATAATTACAACCACAGAGTGACATATTTGTGTATGGACCAGGTGCTCTAATGGCAGATACCGCGCCAGTGCCTGGTATAGGAACAAGACGTGAAAAATGTTAGGTTAGTGAGCATATCAACAATAATAATAGGTATTATTCAGTTCTCTCCATACTCCACTGTATTTGGCTTGATAATCAAATGGAAGTAAACGATATCGTTGTTTGAGACAAAAAACTATTGCTGGCCGTGATTATTCACACATTTGTGAGGAATAAGTAAGTACTTTCATCGATTCAGGCATTATTGGATGCTGTTTGTTTTTGAATTGACACCCTGTAGACAGGTACTACCGAGGGTAGTACTCTGGTTGAGGTAAATATTTTGAGAAAATCCTTGGATGGGTTTTTTTTTGAAACCCGTTTTTCTATAAACCATACCCGAGACCATATACCTAAGAATACGTGATACGTGATGGTGATCTGCTTTCGATAAAATCTCATAATATTCGCTAATTAGGAAGTCATTATGAACAGGTTTTATGTAGATATCTGATTTCATGAAATTTGAAATATATACCAACCTATAACAAGATACGGAAAAATTGGTTGCCATCTCTGAAAACCTTTTTCATTCATTTTCACTGAGATACCTGTACGGATCACCCGGATCACCTTGCATTTTTGGCAAAACTAAAAAATTCGCGCGCTGAAAAAGTTGAGGAAACAATTAAATGTTGGGTACCCAAAAAATCAGGATATTTTTGCTTCGATTTGATTTGAGTAGAGGACTCGGTAGAGGATATTATATAGAATACCTATCTCAAGGGTTCAGTCATTCGGGGCTGATGTAAGTATATAATTGAATAATTTGAATCGAGAAATTGATAAATTCTAGCAATAGACATATTCACGAAGCTTTCAGTAGCGAATCTTGGCAGAACATTTATTGGGTCAATGTTCGATACGGAACTAATATCCATCCATGCAAGATCATAATAATATGCGCTACTGGGATAGAATTGATTATTATCCAGTTATATGGAACGTTTACCAAACACTTGGATTGATATAGATAATCTAAAAGCTGTAAGTAGTGAAAGGTGAGCTCTCACTAATTCTAGAAATTACGAAGATAAATGGCGGAAGATAAACTAATCTACGTCAGATGATATTGGTACTTATATTGAAAATGAATGTTCGAAAGTATTGAATTATTATCTTTTAATTGAATGACCGATATTGCATTCTAAACTCGTATTTAGCCTCGATATTAAGAAATACTTTCCATACCTGAACATCAATTTACATAAATCAATTATCTCCCAGGACCGCTTCAAGCTGATGAGAGCAGCGAGAAATTCTACACGTTCCTATATTCCTACCTACTTTATATTGTGGATTAGTTATTATTGGAAATAATTTCTTCAATACTATATGTGTAGTTATTCGCAACATACGCAATGTATATTATATCTCAAGTAATTATAAATGGTGCGAATGTGTGCGGATGGTTTTTAACTTCAAAACATTACGGGTCAACTTGCCTTGATTGAATATTGCTATAGGATGTCAAATATAAGGTTTTAAAGTCTATTTTTGCAATTTTGCAATGGCAACTTTCAACATTTGGTAAACAATCGTTACCGATAGCCCGATATACGCAAATATGATGACGTTAATTTCTCTCTCTAATACTTGAACGTTTTTTTTTTAATAGAACTGAAATTCTGTTATAAATGGTAGCATTGTTTTTGTATGTGATAAGTATTTATTATAAAACTCTTTCTAAGGAGAGAAGAAGTAGTGCGTTTCGTAGCATCTCACAATGAAAAGCAATTATACTCTGAAGAAATTGTGGCTTTTCTTAACTATGAACGCTGCCCGAGCAAAAAAGCCGAACTTATTTACCTATGGACGTAGTTGATTTAACCTCGATTTTAGCTCTCGGCTTTGCGGACGAAGACAAGAGACAACACAACCTCGAGTTAAAATCTAAAACTTTTTTCCTTTGTATTATAAATAACTTTTTACGCAGATGATAGTTATTTATTATACAAGGGAAAAATAGATGTGAAATCGAGGTTTTGTCGTCTGCCCACGCATAGTGGAGGAAGATAAAACACCTCGAGGTAAAATATAATCTTTTTCCCGTGTATAATACACATTTTTTTTCTATGACAGGAAAAACGCCGATTCAATATTGATAAGATATTAGATTGAAATAAAATCAGAAAATTATGTATGTGAAATTTGAATATTTTCACAGGTGTACTACCTGTGTTGCAGGCATCTTTTTGTATGCATCTTTATTGTTGCTATGGAAACCATCATGATAGTAACCTTTTGAAGTAATGGCATATCTGTCAACAGTGTACCTTTATATACGAAAAAAACGTACTCACTTTTTCCATGTGGGAAAAAAGTAATTAATTAAAATTGACATTTTGTAACCCGTCAACAGAGATAAAATGTCAAACTTTTTCCCTTCACAGAAAAAAAAAAAACATTTTCTTATACACATCTTCAAATTTACAGTTATAACTGTTTCGTTTTGTTTTAGGATGATAGCTCAGAGATGTCGTGGTTTCTCCTTCAGTAGTAATATTAATCAAGGCAATTTGATCAGAAGTAAGAATCGTATCGAAATATTAATTTATGAGAAGCGACAGCTGTGGCTTTCTCATTATAGCATGGTAGTTCATGTCAAGAGCCAGCAACAAGTAGGTATACTGATTTCAACGCAGTGAAATTAAAAAAGATCCTCATAGTAAGAGTGCTCATCGAAGATAGAAAATTGCATTACGAAGTTAAGAGGCCGGAAAAACATCATTACAGCGGACCGACCAAAGGATGTAAGGGGGGCTTTACTGAACGAGGAGTAAATGTTATTGTTTATCAAACATTAGTATCAAGTATCAAAATGTTATTAGGCTTATTTCACTTCAGAAAAAAAAGTGAATAATAGAGGAACTTGGCTCCTCCACCATTCCTATGACGAACTTACTGAAAATCCACATTCACACGGTTGAAATACGATTCCCTGTGCCAGTACGACGTTGCCGACATCATCAATATGTCTAGATTTCGGGAAATTGTTCTTTGAATGTATAATAACTACATTATAACTGCAATGGGATATAATAGGTTCTTCAACACTACTTTGTCAAGTATTATGAATAATTCCCACAAATCTCTCATTGGCTGAATGAAGTTGATTACTAATGAAGATAAATTATGATATTTTGCGATAGTATCAATAATTTTTACTATCTTTATATATATTTATAACTTGACAGTCATTTTTTTGCTAATGAATTCGTTCCTTAATAAAACGGATCTATTTTCTAGGAAAGTTGCAGATTAAATCTTGCAACAGCGCTTATACTTCGAGTCTGTCCACACTACCTAAAATACTGACAGGCACAACAAGAGGAAGGAGCCATGGGTGTCGGCTTCATTCTGTTCTGACCGATGACAGTAAATTAGGAAGGATAGTATTATTGAATGTAGCCGATAGTGATTCATTGAATCAATGATATTTTCGTTTAGGATCGAGCGCTATTCGAGATATTTCAATGCATAAATAACAAAACCATAACCTCCAAGAATGAAGCCAACTATCCTCTGCCTTCCTGCTCCGAGTGCATTTGTGGTTTTGTATGTTTTTGTTCACCAGTTCTACTTCTTCTTCTTCTATTTTTTTTCATTCGTTTTCCATTCGTTAGCTATTCGCTAGCAATATTCTTCACCATCAGCTATTTTCAGACTATATTCAAAATGTATGTCACAGTTTGCCGCCCCGCAAATTAGAATTAGAAATTGCTTTAATTCGAAAATGTAAACGACTTGGACTTTATCGGTCGCCTTTCTGTATTGCGTGGACATAAAACTGGAGAGTTCCGGACTTATTTTATGAGAATTCATCGGAAGGAAACTTCCCCATTATAGTAGCACACATTCGTCAACGGTGTAGCCTTCAAGTCATGCTTCATTAAATTATCTATTAACTGTTACTAGGCTGTCATAGCAAAATGAATTGAATAGCATTGCCGTCCTTTATTTAATCAGCTTTTTTATGAAGGTTATTCAATTTTTGATAACCGATAATCATTTTTTTCCCAGTGCATTCTACCACAACCAACACTCGGTTAGATATCCCGCCTAATTCTAATCCAGATAACTCACCTCGACCACCCTCAAGTTCTGCTTGTCCAACAAGAACTCCATCGACTTGTGCGGCCTGTTGGGCTGGTGATCCTGGCCCGCGTCGCCGGGCGCCAGATTCAACCTTCGGGGCTGCGGCCCCAGGTCCAGCAGGCTCCTCGTCTTCGCATTGGCCCCGCTCGTGATAACCGTCACTTCCGTGTCGAGATCGGTCTCGATCAGGCCCATGGGCTCCTCCATGGGCACTGCGCAATCGATAGTCCTGCGGCGCTGGGAGCGACCCGACGCATGCGCATTGACGTTGGCAGGCGCATGTGCTTTGAAGTTGGCCGACGCATGCGCATTGGCGCTGGCTGGAGCGTGCGCTTTGACGCTAGCGTGGACGACGCGAGGCGGCGGTTGCTTGGGAAGCGGCGGCTTGGCGGTGATGGCGGCGAGCTGGGAGCGGTGGTTGTTGTTTTCTGCGGCCGGGGGGCCTTTCAGGGGGATGTAGATGTAGTCGTCTTTGGTGGCGATGCGCTGCTGGTGTGGATTGGAGATAGCTGCAAACAGAGGGTGCATGAGTTGATTTTGACCTTTGGATGGATGAGGGGCTAGAGTGGTGAACTGTTGGGCTGGTTGGTACAAAAGCGTAGAGGGCTCACGTTACGTTTTTTTTAAATAGACAGTTGCAACTGTCTAAAAACAGCTGAAACTGACAAAATAGACAGTGGTAACTGTCTAAACAGACAGTTGTTACTGTCCAAATAGACAGTTGTAACTGTCTAAATAGACACTTGCAACTATCTATTTGAAAAAAAGCATTTGGAATAAATTTGATAACCATTTTATTGGAATTACGGGTTATGGAAGCATCGATGTACGTTGCAAACCGAGTTGCAAACGTACGAAATCGTTATTTTGTAGAATAGGTTGTGTTCCAATTTTTGTGTTATTACAATTTTGTCCAGCTCTTAACCAGATTATTTTTCTGGAAAATCCGAGGGAAAATCCGTCGATGCATCCACTGATGGATATTTCCATATGGTTTAAGTTGTCATAACAATCAATATGTCATAAAAAGTTTGGACCTTTATTCTTGTATTGCCTTCTTCTCAGCCGTCTTCTAGTTCTAAAATCTACACCAACGGGATCAATAATTTGGAGCAGAAGACGAACCATGACTTGTGTAACTACTAAATAATTCTGAAGGCATTTAAGGTGCTTCTATCGGTATCCATGTAATTATCCATGAGTTTTGGTATTATTTGTAATGAATTGTTGAATTTCTAGAATGTCCGTAAAAGTCTTTATTCTGAACAATCCCAATTTGTGTAATTTTCGTTCGAGAGTGCTTAAGCTAATGATGATATCATAATTGAGAGCCAAACTGGCCAAAATTTCAGTTTGTTGGAAACCCGAACAGAAATAAAATCTAATTAAACCATCATCCATTTTACTTTTACTATAGAAAAACTACCACAATCGTTATACACGCAATACACACAGCTCGTATTAGTTAATAGCACGTGTTTCTATTTTCCCTATGTTGTAGTGTTTTTTAGGTAGGACAGAAAACAGGGGAGTCAGTAGTGACTAGTCAGTGGACATGACAGAACAGTACGAATTACGATAACTATTTAGACAGTTGCAAGTGTTTATTTAGACAGTTATAACTGTCTATTTAGACAGTTACAACTGTCTAATTAGACAGTTACAACTGTCTAATTAGACAGGTTATAACTGTCTATTTAGACAGTTACAACTGTCTATTTATACAGTTTCAACTGTCTATTTTCATAGACAGTTACAACTGTACATTTGGACAGTTACAACTGTCTATTTTCATCGACAGTTACAACTGTCTATTTAGACAGTTGCAACTGTCTATTTGTGAAAAACGTAACGTGAGCCCTCTACGCTTTCGTAGGTTGGAGTATTAGTTGAGGATCCGAAGTACGGTCGACCTTCACCCGTCTCGTTAATTAAGGGAAAGTATAATAAACTGGCCAGGCCATAATTGATTAAAAACTCCAAAATCACTTTCTTATTCAAAAGAATAATATTTATAAATCAAGAATTATTTTCTATTGATATTATAATGTGATATTTTTAATATAATATTCATATTTCTGGAAGCATACTAGATATTATTACTGAACAAAATATTCTTTTTTTTTCAATTTTTTCATTTGAAATTTTCAACGGTTGATTTTGTTTATCTTTATTTACTTTCTTGAAAAAATATAGAAGTTCCAAGCAAGTATACATTCTTTTCTGATTCTTACTCATGACAAAATTTGCATGTATACAGTCTAATGCAACATTCATAATGAAATATATATCCATAATATTTTGTAATATTCTAATTTATATTAAATGTATCTAACATACAGGGTGATTCAAAAGTAAGCGGCATCCTTTCAGAGGCGTATTCCTTGCATGAAAATAAGGCAAAAAGTTCCTATTGATAAGGATCCGAAAATGCTTCCTAAGGGAGCTACGGCCCTTTGAATAGGACACCTCAAAGACGGTTTTTTCTCTATAACTTCAAAATCCTTCACAACAAATTTTTAAAAATTGGTGTACGGCATAAACATTCGATGGTAAATAGGACTCCGTATTCGAAATAATTTCCAAACGAAATCACAGTAACCTGAATATCCGGAGAAGAAGGGATATTTTTACACTTACCCTCTCCCGCATGTGACGCCCCTGAATGAAATTCTGAAATTTCGAATACGGAGTCCTATTTACCATCGAATGTTTATGCCGTACACCAATTTTTAAAAATTTGTTGTGAAGGATTTTAAAGTTATAGAGAAAAAACCGTCTTTGAGGTGTCCTATTCAAAGGGCCGTAGCTCCCTTAGGAAGCATTTTCGGATCCTTATCAATAGGAACTTTTTGCCTTATTTTCAAGCAAGGAATACGCCTCTGAAAGGATGCCGCTTACTTTTGAATCACCCTGTATATAACTGATTTTACAGAAATTATATATATGGAGAATTTGCGGTCAGAGGATATGATTTTTTCTACGGCTATAAAACAAAATAGCTCTCACTGTGTTCGATACGTCAATGAGGTACTTTGTATGTCACCAATATTATTTCCGTATCTGATATCACAATGACTCCATTGCATTGTGTTATTATTTAAAAAAAAAATTCATCGCTCATGGAATGTCAAATGTGAAGCCATTTCAGCTCTGTCTAATAGATGAGCATTACTTGACAGGAAATCAGATGGCTACAAGACGAAGAAATCGAAAATGCCGCTGTTATCTTTTATAGCCGTAGAAAAATTATAGTGTATAACTTGCACGGAATGCTAATTTCCTACTCGAATGAAATCACTATCATTCCATGCTCGTTAAACAATATACTATTGTTTTCAGTGAATGAACAAATGTCGACAATCGACATTATTACCTGTTTGTATAAAAGGGCTTTCCGGATAATTATTCTAAATATAACTCTCACTAGAGGTTTTCAACATATTGTTACGAGATTACATTTTTCGGAACAGACTCACACGCGCTCTTCTTGGAAATAGTCCATTGCCTGGGCGTTACGGAAAAGCTGTTTAAAGTTTTGGCGAAGGTTCTCGGAAGGTTCTGAACTCGCCAGAGCGACTAGCGAGCGAGAAAGAGAAAGAGCAATTTTTCAATCATTTTGCTCTGGATATTGATTGGCACAGGTGCCGTTCGATAAATTACAATGGTTTTACATGCCTTTGGGACATCATTTCGTTATCACATGACGGTCGGAATTTGCGGCCGGCTCTTGGACTATATCTAAAGTAGAGTTCCTAAATGTACTTGACACTGCTGATTTTGACGTTTTTTGTCGAATCTGAAGGAGCCGGTCCATTCTCAAACAGTCAATTTAATTTGCTTCATCACTTTCATGATCAGATTATTACGACTGTGGGGAGTGTGCCTCGGCCTTCACAAAATTAAGATCCGCCACTGGAAATTTGCAGAACACATGAGTGAGACGTTCCATATGCAAAATTCTTTTCCTAATCTAGAGTTGTTTCGTCGACATAATAGGTAGGTATATTAACTACCTACTTGTATATTTATGCACGTTTTATCGTGTGGTGACTATTCATGCAAAATTATTGTATTGTTTCATTATCGACCTTGTGGAAAATAGTTTGGTTATTCAAAAATTATATTTTATCTTGATCGATAGGTACCTAGCATTCCTATTCATTCTTCGAATGAATTATATCACACCCAGAGAAATAGTCGGTAGTGTAAAATAGGAGCCAGTCACTACATTCATCAAATAATACCACAACAAGATTGTATCATACTATACTATGAGTATCATATTATTTTGTAGTGGTATTTTAAAATTTGGAAGTGGTATTATTATTATTAGATGAATGTAGTGACTGGCGTCTATTACTAAACATTTGGTATTTACTACTGACTATTTTTTTCAGTGCAACAACGAAGTTAGTTTTTCAGGATTTCGAAAACATAGGGATAGATAGGTACAACATTTGAACCTCAATAAAAATTATGTATATGTATACGTATCTATGGTCATAGGTTGCTTTGGCGCCAATTCAAAATAGTCTTTGGTATTAGTACGGTCCATGTAGGTTAAGCAAAATTCACAGTACCATTCAAAGAAAGCACGTAAATTGGCATGTATGTTAATTAGCGTAGGTATATTCTTTGGTTCATGTTTGAAGGTATACTACGGATACTATAGATACACTATAGAGTTCACTGGGTAATTGGTGCCATGCGTATGTATGTGTTTAGGTCAGAGCGATTCTTTCACGTAATTATTTCGGTTCTAAAAGATGTAAATGGCTGTCAAAAATCAATATACCTATTGTCCTAACCTCATACACAAGGAACATAGGGACAAAGTTCGAATAAGGAATATTTTATCAGATGAATTATATATTATTATTTATATCCTTACATTGAAAAACCATCAGACTCACCTAGAATAACGAAGGATCAGGATTGTCCACCAACTATATTATGAGAACTTTTTCTTACCTAATTTTCAGACGAAAAATTTATTTTTTTCTGTGGCGGGAAAGAGTTTGACATTTCAATATATGGGTACTTAGTAGGACAAATCAGATGGTTTGCCCCAAAATGTCACTGCGTTTAACAAATTTTTCTATCCGGAAGCCTAAACAAAAAATCCAGCAATAGCTTGTCAGTGACACTTTGTTCGGAAAAAGGTTTGAAGAGAAGAAATATAGGTATATTGAGAAAATATCGAATTTTTAGTTAGCTTTGGACGTTCGGAAACGAATCTGCTGCCGTTCTCAATACAAAAATGCAAAATATATCTCTTAGAAAATTCTGTTCTAGGTTGACACTTCTCAGTGTTGAAACTTGTTGAACTAAAATACCTTCTGCTTGTCTGATCACAAAGAGTTTGAAATATGATCGAAAATCTTGATCACTTATGATGGACAATCACATATCTGCTTAAAAAAATAGCCTTAAAACAACAGAAATCATATGGCAGTTGTTATACTCACTATTGCTGTTACTATAATATTGGATAAGGGAACTTGTC